TCGTATTTTGTTCGTCATTGACTCTATAATGTTTAAAAGTAAGTTGATTAGTTAAATGATCGATCATATTGCTTTCAAAGTCAATTGAATTTTTTTTTGAATTTCTGTTAATGTTGGTAGCTGTGCCCCACATCTTGGACATAATCTTTTCCGATTCTTAATTTCTTGCAGATTGCACCTGGGACATGATTTCATTTTGGAAGCATTAGTTAGCATAGATGCTACAAGAGAATCAATAGTGTTAATTTTTCTTCAGATAACAATGCAAGAACCTTGGCAAGATAGGCATATAGTTCTTCATCGATAACTTTTTGCATTTCAGGACTAACATTAAAAATTTCTTTATATTGCGATCTATTAAGAGAATGATACATCCAGGGTAAGTCAGTATATTGAATTTTGTTTCGTGATGCCATATTAAAAGCAACAAAACTGGTAACAGTATGATAAACAACAGTATTAAACCCTCGATCAAGATAATTCTTTTGACCTCTCTGTTCATTATCAAAAGCAAAAAATAAAAGACCCTTGGGCAATGGCTCTTCGTGCCTTGACAATTCTTCTAGCCACTTTTGAAATCGAGTATAGCTCCCCGAACTTGTAATATGGTTATCAATATCAATAACCATCTTCGATCGTGCGATTGAATATTTTATAGCTGAGGCGGCAAGCTGAATTCCTGACACATATTTTCCATGCCGAGCCCCGTATATAGAATCTACTGCAACAACTGTCTTAAAAAGTTTTTCTTGGTTTGAAATATCAGTAGTTTGATTATTTTGAACTAAAGTTTCAATGAATTTAACAATAACCTAGTTATGCCTACTAAGCTATTCACATGAGTTATATTTCATAAGTTTTTCTAAGGAAAACCTATTGTTATTATTGATTAACAACTTTATAAAAAAATATTAGTAAAAATTTGTAAATATAAAAAAAAATACAAAGAATTCAAAGTAATACGATACCAATATCATTAAATAATGCTTTATGTTCTGCTTCTGCTATTTTAATAACTGCAGTGATACGTTTTTGCCAACTAGAAAACCTTGTATTCCACTGTTTAGTAAGAGCTTTATTCTTTTAGTACTGACCTTCATACAAATATCGAAACATATTCACTTCTTCACGGGCCTGTTGCAATTGCTTCTTTAATTCTTCTGTTTCAATCGCTTGCTCTTCTATATATTGCCAATTCTGTTCTATTCTGATACAAAGCTCCTTATTTTTTTGTTGAGCACTTTCAAAAAGCCTTCTAGTTCTGTCAAGCTCATCCGCTATGTCAGTATAACTAGTGGCTTGAGTGCTCATGTTAGTGTCAGGGCGGTTTTCTTGAACTAAGCTAGAAAGATGTTCATAAAATAGATTAGATGAGACAATTTGATTATAATATGTCTGACAAAGTGAATGAGATTCTAAAAAGTAATTAGCAAGTTTAGGAATGTAAAGTTAAAAAAGTAACAGTTTCTCAGCTGCTTTCGGGCCACTTGTATTCCAATATTTTCATTCTTCTGTTTCACAAGGGCTTAATCCAGCATTTCTATACTTCTCAACTAAAGCTTCAAAAATGCATTTAAGATCTTGCACTTTTTGTTTTTGATAACTTTTAGACACTAAAAAAAAAAAATTATTTTATTTAGTTAACAAGATCTTTTATTGCAACTAACAAATGCGTCAAGAACCCCAATCTTAAGGTCTCACTTACTTTTTTCAAATCAGTTTATAATACAGGATTAATTGGGATGATTGAAAGTAGATGTTTTATACTTACTAATCATATATTGTTTAGTAAAATTAATAGTATTAAATCTTGTGAAACCCTCAAGAGAAGAAGGTGTGATATAGCCAATCAAATTTTGCAGATCATTCTAGAATTCGGATTTTCAAATCTAGAACTTAATTCCAAATTTGGTAAAATCCTGGACTGGATTGGCCAACTATATAAAATCTCTATGTAAACAATGGTTTGTTTACATAAAGATTTTATATAGTCAGCCAATCATTTTTTAGTGATATTTCACAAACCACCAGGCCGATTTTAATGATTTAACCACTATTAGATGTGCCTCAGCAAGCTCTACAACTTTCAATTAATTAATCTTGTCAATTAACTTAGTACAAAAAAAAGTTTTCTTTGAAAAATCTTTACATTTTCTGCTTATGTAATTTACATAGTGATTTGCATTACGTTATACTATAATCATGCACTAGATGACTGGCAAATCATCAATTAAGTTAAATAATTAAATAAATAGTGTTTCACAATTACGATTTTTTAAATATCTAAATTTCTGATTGCATATCTTAAATATTAAGTTCAAGCTTAAATTCCCTTATGCTATATTTATTAAGATCAATTTCAAATTTCTGGTTAAACCTAAATTGTCTCACACTATACCTTTTATCCTTATTAAATTCGAATCTAATATTTATTAAAATTTTAAATTAACTGACTAATCAATTAATCTATTATTGCAGTCAGGGGATTTACCAAATTAAGAAATTACGTTCTAGAATGATCTACAAATGGATTTCTGAATTTGATTGGCTCTTATATGCCTTTTACTTCTCAAATATTGTACAACTTAAAAATTTTTTTTTTTGATAGTTATTAAGATCTAGTAAGCTTCAAACACATACTTCAAGATGTCTAGTTTTGATAATCAAAAATAATCAACAGCGGCAAACCTTTTTTGCCAAAGTAAATAAGAGGCTAAAAAAAGGTATTTACTTTGTATAGGAGATTAAGAATCGTCATTAGTCAACTTAAAATAACTGTTTTTTTTTTGTATTTATATTTAAAGAAAGATTTAAATACTACAACTTTTATATTTTTAATTTAACTCTTATATAGGTATCAATATAGCTTGCAAAAGAAAACTCTTAAGATATTTAAAGTAGTTTTAGATTAAAAATTGGTATATAGATAGTATTGCTAAATAACACTATATACAGATAATATTGTTTGATAATAAAAATTAAATGTTGTAATATAGAATAGTTAAAGGTAGCAACAACTAAGCAGAATAAAATTATTATTTATAATATTAATAAAAAGGGAAGCTTTGCTTATAGCTTTGCTAAAGTTATTCATTTATATATCTGTAAAGTATATAGAGTTTTTAATTAATTTGATTAGTTAATGCTCATGTGCCATGAAATCTAGAATTTTCTGATCAACATCTTTATACCAAAAAAGGTGTGATCTTTAATGTCCATATTCGATATATTTCCTGACTGTATCGTGCTTTACAAAAATATGTAAATGCTACTGATTATTTTTTTATATGAGAATTGGAGATTTTCTTGATTTTTTATAATTTAAAAAATTAAACTGTTTTCAAAAAAATATAAATATAACAAATCGAAATGTAAAGTAACTGACAATCTTGAATCTTGGTGATTCTCAGCCATCATATCACTAAAATCACATATTTACATCTTTTTGCGAAGTGCTATAATCGTTTAATTAATCATTAGTTTTCTAATAAAATTCTTATCAATTTGACTAATTAATCATTTGATTGATTTTCAATTTGTAACACAATTCTCAATTCATCAAAACCTATAAAATAAAAAAATGGAATCTGAACTTCTTAATTAAAAATTATAAACCTTTCAAAAACTTTAAAAAGGAAACTATCATAAATTAAATGATCGAATGAATGGTGTTTTACAATTACAATTTTTGAAATATCTAAATTCCTGATTATATATCTTAAATATCAAGTTTAAGCTTGAATTCTCTCACACTATATTTACTAAGATCGATTTCAAATTTTTGGTCAAACCTAAATTGCCTCATGCTATACCTTTTACCTTTATTAAATTTGAATCTAACATTTATTAAAATTTCAAATCAACTAACTAATCAATTAATCTATTATTGCGCTTTACAAAAATATGTGAATGCTACTGATCATTTTTTCATATAAGAATCTGAGATTTTCTAGAATTTTTATGATTTTAAGAATTAAAATAATTTCAAAGAAATATAAATATAACAAATCAAGTACGGCAGATAGTGTAGAACCTTCGGGTGGACTACTTAAATTAGGCACTCAAAAGGTGCACATGTGGCTTGATGTACAATCGTTGTAATTGCATATAAAACACCGTTTCAAATCCTAATAAAAGCTTTCAGGCCAAAGAGGTCTCCTTAACCAATAAAAAAAATAAAAAATAAATATAACAAATCAAAAACGTAAAGTAACTAATGATCTTGGATCCTGGTGATTCTCAACCATCATATCACTAAAATCACATATTTACATCTTTTTGCGAAATACTATAATTGTTTAATTAATTATCAATAGTTGATTAGTTTTCTAATAAAATTCTCATTGATTCGATTAATTAATCATTTGATCAATTTTTGATTTGTAACACTATTTTCAATTTGCCAAAATCTATAAAATAAAAAAACTGGAATACAAACTCCTTAATTAAAAATTATAAATCTTTCAAAAACTTTAAAAGAGAAATTACCTTAAGTTAAGTGATTAAATGAATGCTGTTTCACAATTATGATTTTTAAGATATTTAATAAATTCTTGATTGCATCTCTTAGATATCAAGTTTAAGCTTGAATTTCCTCATGCTACATTTATTCAAATTTCAAGTCAAACCTAAATTGCCTCACACTATATCTTTTTACTCTAGCAGAACTATGAAAGTAAGATATTATGAGATTCTCGACCAATCTTTAAAATCTTTTTGCATATAACTAAATGAGCAATTATCTTTTTATGCTTCTTAGATAAATATAAAAGGAAAAAACATTAAAGCTCAAGACCAAAAAGAGAATAAAAATAAATTATAATCTGGTTTACTATTAATAAATTACAAATCACAAAACCTGTTCAAGTAATTCATATTGTTATCGCTATCTAATAAAATAAATAAAATTAAAAAAAATCTACAAAACTTCATATATAAAATCTATCGCATCTAAGTAAAAAAAAATAATTCAATCTTCATTCTTCTTTTATTAAAAAAAAATGACTTCAATTTTTGTAGCTCTATGTTTTATTAAAACTATCTCAGGAAGTGAAAAATGTGTTTACGGAAACGCTGTTTACAGAACAAATAGTAACAAAGAAAAATTTAGAAAATTAACTTACAAAGGTTTTATAACCCAAGAATCTTTAATTACTGAGTTAGAAAAAAACTCCATAGCTTTAATAATTGGGAGATATGTATTTAAAGACACCGAATATGTAAATATATTAATTAATACCCAATCTCATAACTATAATATATTAATTTTTTTTTAAAATACTAGCTCAAACCATACCAATTTCCACCTCCAATGACAATCGAAATCACTCCAGATGATTTACTCTATTTGTCTTCACTATTACTATTTTTTGCTTCTATCATTTCTAATACCCACTTTTCTAATAATGAATTTGGCAAAAAAAGCTTTATGCTTTCTAAAAAATTATATAATGGTATTACTGGTTATAAAAACATAGAAACCAAAATGATTGTATCTTATACCAATCAAAATAGTCAATATAATACATTAAAAGATAACCTAAAAAAAACAGTTCTTGCAGTAATTGGAAGATTAAAAATTGGTACAAAAAAAATGCTTCATATCATAGCCACAGATATTGAATGGAACTATGTTAGTAATAAACAAACCTCTGATAATTTGAATAAAGCAAAAGCAAAAGCTCAAGGTGACATTAACGACTATCTCGAAAGTATTGAAGAAAAGTACACCAAATTAAATTCTTCCTCCTCAAGAAAAAGACAACACTCAAATTTACCACCTACTTCTCTATCAAAAGCACAAAAGACCAACCCTTAAAGCAATAATTCAAAAACCCAAAACAATAAATCTCTAGCTAATAATTTTTTACAAGCCATAGGTCAAATTAAAAATATTGGAACCGGGCTTCAAAATAATATTATCAATAACAATAATCTATCTGCTCTCAAATAGATTTTCTTACTAAACTTTCTTTTTTTATTATTAAGCCTGCAAATTTCTTTCTTTGCTTTTCGTAACTTAACTGAAACAAATTTTATATCACTAAAACTTAGAAATTTTAAATTTGTATACACTTAATAAATAAATTTCATGATTTTTCTTTTTTTAGAAAATTATCAAATATACTTCAATATCCAGATATGTGTAACATATAAATCGACTATTAAAATGCAAGCCTATAATTGGCTAAAACTTATACTACGTAAAAATTCTAACCATCGAAACTAGAATATAAAATTTTTTAATACTATATAATGTACGTATAATAATCAAATAAAAAACTTTTCTTATAATTTATGCTGAATTATATCTTAAAAAAAAATAATAATAGTATTCCTTAATGTTAAAGACATTTTACTTTATAACCCAAATATACTTTACTTACATGGTCAACATAAATTAAAAATTTTAAAAATTATATTATTTCTATATCTTCAATTCACAAAATAAATAAAACCATTTATGATTAATAAAATATATTGAAATTCTTGCTAAAAAAAAAATTTTATAAATACACTATATATACTAAAATAAAAGAAATAATTGTAGCGAGAGGTGTGGCGGCTTAGTGAAGTGGTCAAGTCGTCACCCTCTCCAAGTAGCAGGTCTAGGATTCAAATCCCACGGACGACGAAAGTTTGAAAAATAGGCTTGTGTTACGGTAACAGATCTTCATTAAATTGGGGCTGTAACTTCGGGTCACACCAATGCTCTGTATTGGAAAGTTGTCACTGTTGGGCGTCTGCGTACTACCGAGTGGATA